AAATCACCACATGTCCAGGGGTTAAGATGCTGTAAAACAGGGTCAGAGGGTAGAGATGGATGGTGGGGTAGAAGTGATACTTTGGATAAATAGAGTGCATGGGACCATCCTTTCTGGTAAGATGGCATGAGACCAGAGACCTGAATGACGGCAGCACATAAACCACATTGACATCTAGGCAGAGCATTCCTGAAAGACAGACTCACCTGTGCAAAATCCTGAGCAAGGAACCTGCCTGATATGTTCAAGGAACATTCTTTTACAATTACATTTCACTTATAAAAGCAAAAAACCCATTTAATGATTATAATAATAGTGGTAGAACTTTTGTGACAATGTTGTTTTGAAGGTTAAATGAAATAATGCTCATAAAACCCATAGCACCATGTCTTGGGGATAGTAAGAATTTAATAAATGCTAAGGCGTTCATAATTATAATTATTGTTTACTATGCATTTGACAGTCACAATAATCCTATAAGGTAGGTGGTCAAGAGCTATTAGCTCCATCTTATAAATGAAAACTCTGAAGTCCATGAAGGGAAGTGTTTGCGCAAGGTCACACTGTAGGTTAGTGGCAGATGGAAGCAGCCTGGGTCCCTAAGGCTGTGGGCAGAGGGTCACCTGTGGGAGTTGCTGATCTGCACTAGACTTTGCCTAAGCAGGAGATAAACTTGTATTGTATTACTATTAAGCCACTGAGATTTGGGGGTTATTTTTTGCAGTAGCTTAGTATTACTTAACCCCACTAACACAGTGCCTGGCTCCAGCATGACTGTGAGACGGTCTGAGAGACAAGGCCTGTGCCCCTTCAATAGCAGGGCTGGTGGCTTTTGGAGAGAAACTGCATTGCCCACAGAGAAGGTGGCAGAAGAGGAGACTAGGAAGTCTTGCCTCTCGGGGTTTATTTAGGCTTGTTCTTCACAGGGTATTTAGATGATTTCATCGTCAGACATTGCTCTCCTGAACCCGCATCGCTTCCAACAGAGACATGGGCATACTGTTGAGTCTTACTGTTTGGAAGCAGAAGACTAACACTGAGGGCTGAGTGGAGACAGGGGGTATCTGGAACGAGAGGAAAGATGATGTGGAGAATAAACATATATTATGTAAAGTATCCTTACTCCTCCATCCTACCACCAGGATTTCACTGGACTCCATAGTCTCTGCTCAGTGCCAGTCCCTGAGCCCCGGTTACTTTGGACCCTGAACGTGCCTGTATTTTTCCAGCACCACCTTGTACCTACCAGTGCCTCTGCCTGGGACATGCTCCATCTACTTCTCTAACAAAACCCTGTGTAATGTATCCTTCCGAGTTCTGTTGGAATGCCACCTCCTCCAGGAAGCCTTCCCATTCCCTCGCCATAATATAGTACTTCTTGCTCTGCATTTCCTCAGAAGACTCTTGTTCACTAGAAACCACATTTTGCCTTCTGCTCCACTTGTGTATGTGTGTACATAGCTCCTGCACAGACTGCATGCTCCGCGAGGCCAGGCCTCTCACCTCTCAGCTCTCAAAACAGGCCAGAGGCAGGATTCCATTTGGAAAGACATGAAATAAGATAATTTCTAATGAAAAAAACAGGCTCATTTTAAATGCTAGGGCAAGTAATCTGATCAAGTCCTCTTTGGAACCTGGTGGTATTCCATTTTACAAACATGTGCACCCCCCTACACACACACACACACACACACACGCATCTCCCACCGGCCCCTCATGTCCATGAGCAGAAGGACTGTGGTGATGTGTTTTGCTGTTGCCTTTATGTTGATGTTCAAACTCTCATCTTACCCCCACCAATTACTGAATAACTAAAAAAAAAAAAAAAAAAGACCCAAACCCTACCCCAGCAGATGTGTGTGAGCTGTTTGATCTTGAGGCTGAATAGGAACCAAAGTCTCGGAGACTCAGATTATAGTGCAGAAGAGGGAAAAAAAATCTTAACAGGAACTCTGTGAAGGAGAAAGTTTAGCTTTGATCTTACTATTGAATTTTCCTAGTGGGGTATGTGTTTATATCTATTTCTACTTATCTTTTTAACTCCAAAATTCTGTGCTGCTGTGTCCGTCTTTTAACACTATAGAGAGGAGTTTTGTCTGGTTCTGTGCAATGTGATTTAAGTCATTTAAAGTAAGAATTTAATTTCTCTGGGAAATGAGGAGAGGACTGTAGCTTAATTTATGGATATCTTTTCCTTTAAAGGAGTCTAAAATAATTGGGACCACTTTATCTCAAACCAAATGGAAAAGAGGCCCATTAAAAAGCAGAGAGGCCGTGCTTGCAGAGAAGGACGCCTGACTTTATCGTTTAATTCCTAATTTGCACGTCTTCCTCCATAAAGAAAACCTAGACCTTAGAAAACAATCTGACCTTTGCAATTTAGAAAGAGGGAATAAAAGTGCATTTGTTTACAGTTAAATTCTATTTTCAAGTTTCCCCTTAATGGGACCTCTCTTTTAAAAAACATTAGATAATTTTTAAAGTTAACTTGACAAATTTAAAAAGGCACCTCCCCTTGATATGCTGATAATATAATATAATGATAATGGAGTGATAAAGGGAAGGAAGGTTTTTAGTTGCTCATGTAACTTGTGGAATTGTGGATTTTCAGTGAAATTCAGTGTGAAATGAAGACACCCACCACAATAGTGCTATTGACTTTAGATCCTGATTGGAGTACTGCTGAAACGTTTATGATAGCCTTCCTTTCCTCACATACATTCTCCAGTTAATGTATCCATTCAATTAATCACTGTTTATTAAACCTACTATGTGCCAGGTGCTTTGCTTACACATTTATAATCCTCTGCAGGTATTAAAAAACAGATGTTTATTTGCACCTTGAGGCGTAAGCCCGAAAGAGTTCCTAAATTAGGGCCTCACAATCCCCTACACAGCCGTTTTTAGAATTTGTATTATTTAGCATTTTCCAAGGTATCTGTTCAGTACCAGCCAAGTATAAAGCACAAAGCTAAGCAAGGGCATGAGGGGGGAGATAAATCCTGCACACACTGTGCTTCCTAAGTGGCTTGGAGGTTGGTGAGAGGCACACTGAGTACTGCCAGCGTGGGGCAGGTGTGTGGGGGCGGGAATCCCCTGGGCACGGCTGCGGTGGGAGCTTGCCAGCTCCTACACGTCAAATTGGAAGGTCAGGGTTCGGGTGTGGAAGAAGATGATTTTAAAATGCTATCCAAGGAGTGTGATCGTTGTTAGGGCATCCTGGCAAGGTCAGGGCTAGCAGTGGAAGTCATGCTCCTAGGGCAAGTCTTGCCTGGAACTTACTTGAACTGCCAGCCTTTAGGTGTGGGTGCAGCCTTCTCGAGGGTTCAGTAGACCACTGCGATTCCCTGCCAAATGAAGGCCCTGCTGGAGGAAATCTGGCTTTCTAAGAAAGTGTTATTGTAGCCGCCTCGCCCCTCCCCAAGAGGACTTTCCCAAGCCTTGAGTCTGTTGTTGCTCTCTGTCCCCTACCCTCAAGCCTCCTAGAATGACATCAGAACCTCATGGTGTGCTGGCCTCAGGGGACAAATGCATCACAGTGGGTGAAATACAGGACCTTGGACTTGTGATTTAAACCAGCCAGATGCAGCTATTGGACTGGTGGCTTTCACAGACCTCATTCTCACTCTACCTCACTGGGGTCAGTGTGGAATAAACACCAAGGTCTTGGCCCTGTCTTATGTGGTATTGGAACAGTTTGTGATTTTTCTTAGAGCAGTTTTAGATTTTCATGGTGTTTTATGCCACTATTGGCCAAGTATATTTTAGGTACATAATTTCTGATGGGTTCTCTTCAGACCTGGTCGGCTAAAAATACATTAGAATATAAAATAACTGTATACCTCTCACCATACTTATGTCTACAAAGATTCAGTCATTAAACAACTCTATATAAAATGGCTACTGTAACCATTAAGTACCTATATGTAAAAAATAAACAGATATCACAGAGAAATAAAAGTTTCTTCTCCTATATTACTTGTACAACAATATAGATATATGTAGCACTCCAAAAGCTTTATTTCTGATAGCCTCTTTAGAAATTTTAGGATTCAATTTACTAATAAATGGAATAATAATAAAGACTTTGAACTTAAACATGCCTGGCTCAAACAGGCACGTGACTTTGCCACGTATTATCTGCACAACCATGAGCAAAGCACCTCAATGCTAATCTGTAGAACAGAGATCTCCATTTGTTTTTTGTGTTAAATGAGACAGCATTAAGTGAACTGCATAGAACTAAGCCTGTCACACAGTAGGTCCTCATTAAATGCTAGTAATTTTTCCACTTCTACATACTTTCCTAGTGCCTTTCGTTGGGATTTAATGGCTCTGATCACCTTTTACCTTATTATGGAAGTTGGTATTTTCAACATTTCTCTTTAAAAAGATCAGGGTCTGCCAGGCTTTACACGCTGGCACGGTAGGGTGTCTATAAAACCTCCTGGCAGCGTTGCCTCTTTCAGGTCCCTGCTGTCACATTGCATGCATTTCCCGCCCAAATGCCCAAATGCAGCCGACAGACCCCCTTCTCCCACCCCAGCGCCTCCGCACCATTCTCCTGAGGAAGCGCTGTCCTCCCTGCCTGGGTGCTCAGATTACAGGCGTGGGTTAGAGAGGCAGGACACATGCACTCTGCCTCTCTGCAGAGTTCACTCACACACGCCTCTTTGAACCTGTGCCTCCCACCCCCTCTCAGGGCATGCAGTGCGTCTGACCCTGGCAGCTCCCAGGAGCTGGGCTTCTTGAAATCATTACCTAAGGTCATTCTCTTTGGCCTTCACAGCGACACCCGACCATACTGTTGACTCCACTCTGCTTTTCCCAGCTTTTGAACTCCCCCAGCCATTCTAGGACAACTTTGCCATTTCCTTCCATCTCTCTGAAGGCTTACACATGTGTATTTCTCCTGCTGATGTCCAGCCATGCCTGGCTAAACCTGGCAGGCAGGGAGCATCTGCTGTTTTGCCTGCTGGCTCCGTCCACTCGTGCCTGGGAGCTGCACCTGATTTTGCTTCGAGGAGCCACCCAGCACCCGCTGTGTGCAGCCTTGGAGAGGCACCGGCACCAACAGCCGAGGTGCCCCCCTTTCCAGGGACCAGGGTTTGGCATGTGACTCTGCCACGCCAATCAGATTCTCCCTTGGGAATTTGCATCTTGGATAGACAGAAAGCCGTGGACGTTGACTCATCCCTGCAGCAACTCCCTATCCAGACCCTCCGTAAGTTCCTGCTACCCGGGTCCTGCCTCAGTCCCTGGACATTCTGAAATGGATTCTTCCGATTCTGATTCTGTAAGCAGTTCTCTACCTTCTCCTAAATTCTTTTTGTGCTTAAGATAGCAAGATTCTACTCCTCTTGCTTGCAATCAAATAATGCTAACTAATAGAGTAGGTCAGTCCTTATAGCTACATTTCTAAAGCTCGGTTTGTGTTATGATTGTTCCAGGCTGGTCCATGTGGGAGTTCTTCAGAGCTCTTCTATATTTTGAAATGAAGGCTTTGACAACTGTGTTTGAGACAGAACCTCCTGTTCCTCAGTATGGAAATAGACTTTCCTAATCATGTGGTGAAGGGCAGCTATAAGTGGGGCATGCGAGCTCAAGAGAGGCTGAGTTACCTAAACTGTGCCTCAAGTCCGTGCTTCTCAAACTGGAGCGTGCATAAAAGTCTCCTGGAGGACTTGGGGAGCACCGATGCTTGGGTCCCACCGCCGGAGACCCTGACTCAGCTGGTTTGGAGTGGCGCCCTGAAATCAGAATTTCAGACATGCTCCCAAAGGTTGCTGGTGTTGCTGGTCTAAGGACCACATTTTGAATAGCGAGTCCTTAAATATTATGTTTTCCCCAGGCAAGGGAGATTTTGGAACACAGGAAGCTTTTCTCTAGCTTGTTACAATTGAAAGAAGAGAGACGAGATGAGAATTGCCTCCCCATGTGAACTTCAGGGACGCGTGGCCCTCACTGACGTCATTAACAAGGTTTGTCCCACTGAGTCCCTGAGCAGGGCAAGAAGATGGCCAGGCTAAAGGGTGTGCTCAAAGGCAGGGGTCTCTCCACAAGTCAACCTGCCACCTCCCATGGAGTATCTCAGGCTGCTGGGTAGAATGTCTAAGGCTAATTCATTGGAAAGTTTAAAAACAAAAAGTAAGTGATTACATAAAATCCCGAAGAAATGCAAGACTGCCCTCTGGGATTATTCACTGGTGACCACGGCTAGAACCAGGACTGGGGATGACCCCTCCCCTCCCTGTGCCCCCACCAGCCCTCATCCCCTATGCAAACACCCTCCTCCCTTCTCTAACCATTTCCTTCCCCTTCCTTAAACCCAACTCCAAGCTCCCCTCTCCCAAGTTCCCTTTCTCACTCCCTTTATTCTGCATCAGCCCAACATCTACATACTTAGTTTTTGAAATATAAACAATGTGATTCTGACCACAGTTACAGCCACTATTTTTCTGCCCCTGGCTACATTGCTGGAGCTTTGTTTATCTAGCTCACTTAATCCTTGCAACGACCTTATGAAGAAAGTATTTTTATCCCAGTTTATAGATGAGGAAACGAATTAGAGAAGTAGCTTGCCCTAGATAAACTACTTCGGAAAATGAGAGGTGGAATTTGAATATTGCTCTGTCTGACTTTAAAACATGTGCCCAAAAACAACCTGCATACTAAATCAATTTAGTATGTGTGCACCTGTGTGTGTACTACACACCTGTGTGTGTACACCTGTATGTGTCTCAGTATTCGGTTTCTCCCTGTAGCAAAAAGCTCACCTAGGCAGGACCTGGGTGCTCTGGGAGAATGTTCCAGTGGTACTCTTGACCAGGCTCACATCTGATGGAATGCTCAGGGCCACATTTCTTTCCAGAGTAATCATTCAAGAAATATTGTTTACCACTGATGTGCTGTTCTCCGATGGTGACACTTGTGAACACAGGCGGGGCTGGGCACATTGCTGGAAGTGGGAAGCATTTTTTCCTATTTACCAATCATCTGTGTTTTCCATTCAGATCTATGAGACAGATTAAAAATTGGCTTCTCAGGAGGAATAAAGAGCTCATTATTTGTCATCGTCTATTGAGAGTCTGTTTTGTGCAGACCATGAGTCTGGGGCCTGGAAGGAGCCACAGAAGAGGACCCTGATTTGGGAGGTCTGGGACACAGGGTGTCCCGGGACACAGAGCTGGGGGAGGCAGGGCCAGCAAGGGCGAGCAGACGGGGATCAGGCTGAACTTGGGCCGAGGGCAGTGCTGGCCGCTGCTGCACTGTAAATCATCCCTCATGCTGAGCCTAAAGGCGTGTGGCAAATGCAGGTGCCACCTGGAAGGGGCACTGCGGTTAAGGGTCTGGGGGTGGTGTCGGGCGAGCAGCAGCACCGCTATCACAGACGCTTGGTTCCTTCGGCACAGGAGCAGTGGCTGAGAACGTACAAAAACACATTCACTCATTCATTCATACATTCATGCATGCATTCCACAAATATTTATTGTGTGCAGAGCTCAGCACTGGGGATACAGTTATAAACAAGACGAATCAGGCCCCTGCCCTGATGGAACTTGTGAGGGAGGCAGGTGCTAAATTCTAATCACATAAGGGATGATCTAAGTATGGCTATGATCCGTGCTGTGGAAAATAATGTATACAGTGATATAAGAGGGCTCATGCTGCATGGCTAAGAAGAGTGTAAATGCCCCCAGGAAGAAGGGCAGGAGGAGTTAAAGACCAGGCTCCAAATGCAATGGCCGCTGTTTGGACCAGGGTGAGACAAGTGCTTTCTGGAGGTTCAAACTCTGTCTTGCCCTTAAGGAACAATCCATCTAATTGTAGAGACAGACCCCATGCCTGGACTGAGTGTGGCACAGTGAGTGGGCACTGGACTTAGAACCAGAGAGCTGGCATTCAGTCCCAGCCATTCCTTGTCCTGGCAGCATGATATTGGGCAAATTGTCTAAATTTTAAGAGATTCAAACTCTTTGGAGTCTCGGTTTTCTCCTTTACCAAAGGGAGAAATATTTGGGGCTCTGCCTGCTTTATGGGGTTTGTGGGTGAGAATGAGAAAGCGTTTTGTAACTATGAAAAGCAGAACATATTTACACGCACACACACACACACACACACACACACACACACATACACACACACACCCCACAGGCTGAACTTAATGAGCCCGGGACATCTGGACCCAGCGCAGACTTCAGTGCTAATGAGGCATTGAAAGGGTCGGTTCCCACGAGCAGGCACCGGGAAGAAGGAAGCAGCCTGGCCTGGCCGTTCCAGGGGCTGTGTGTGTGAGGCAGGTTCTCAGGAAGGGGAGCCCTGAGGGGGAGGCCAGGGCACGGTTGGCAAGAGTCAAGCCCCTGGGCACAGGGTGATAAGAGACAAATGAGCTGCTGAGGGGGTAGAAGCTGGGTGCCAGGGGATCCTGAAATACACGATGGTCTCCTTATTTTATTTTTTATGGTCCCAGTTTAGCCAAACTGCACTTAAAATATTTAGATCATGAATAGAAATTTAATTCTATCACAAAGAGAAGGGCCTGACTCTTCTACATGTAAAATGGAAAGAGTTCAGATAGTGTTGAGAATATGGGCCACTCTTTGAAGCAACATAAAGTTAGAATCCCTACCTTATACTACATAAAAGGTGGAATTTTAGATGGATTTAAAGACTAATATGGGAGAGGTAAAATGAAAAGCTGTAAAAGAAGCCAAAGAAGAAAACGTACAAGACTATATTTATGACCTTGGGATGGGGAAGCTATCTTACAGAAGAATTCAAGGCATGAACCTTAGGAAAAAATATTGATGGATTTTACTACAGCGATATTGTATTTTGGTTCTACAAAGGATATATTAGGTAAAGGTTGAAGAAGGGCAACGGATGAAGAGAAGGTGTTTGCAATGCCTTAAACTAATGGGAGTAAATAGAATAGACAAGAAACTTCAGTAAACCAACAAGAAAAAAAGAGGGAACACAATGAAAAAAATGGTCAAAAACTATGAACAGGCAAGTCACATGGGCAGTGGAAACATTTTTAAATCGACAAGTACACAAAGAGATACTAACTTCAATAATAATAGAAGAAATGCCAAGTAAAATGACAATATTGTATTTATGCTGACTGAATTTGTAAAAATCAGAACATCAGATAATAAATACTGGTGGGGATGTGAGGAAACCCACACATAGTACAAGCGTAGCTTCTCTTGAGAGCAGCCTTAATGTATGACATGCACTTAATTGAAGGAAGCGCGAGACCTCTGACCAGCTCTCGCTCTGAGAGCAAGAGCCATAGAAACTCTCGCTTAAGCCAGGGTTGGGTTGTTCCTGGTAGCAAGGAGTTTGGGATGATCTCAGAGACCACCTCTAAGGGAGTGGATTAATAAAATGAGATGGATGCCTATGATGGTATAGTATGCAGTAATCAGAAACAGTGAACTATGAGAAAGGAACTCTTAGTCTCCCACTAGGTGGCTATTAATAAAATTGAAAAGTCTGGCCAAACCAGGCACTGCAGAGGCTGTGCAGCAATTAGAACTCTTAGATGTTGCTAGGGGAACGCAAAATGGTACAACTACTCTAGAAAACAGTTTGGCAATTTATTTTAAGAAACTAAACACATGCTTACATTAAGATCCAGCCGTGCCCCTCCTATGTATATACCTAACAGGAATTAAAGCACATGTTCAGACAAAGATTTATGTGAGAATGTTCATAGCAGCTTTCTTCGTAATAGCCAAAAAACTGGAAACAACCCAAATGTCTATTAACAAGATGATTGAATAAAAAATTGTAGCATATCTACCAGGGGTCCTCAAACTTTTTAAACAGGGGGCCGGTTCACTGTCCCTCAGACCATTGGAGGGCTGGACTATAGTTTAAAAAAACTACGAACAAATTCCTATGCACACTGCACATATCTTATTTTGAAGTAAAAAAAAAAAACAAAAAAAAACAACGGGCAAAAACATCCACATGTGGCCCCCGGGACGTAGTTTGAGGATGTCTGATCTAGACAATAATATACTACATGCACATAAAAAAGAATAAACTATTGAAACTCACAACATGGATGAGTCTCAAAATAATTATGCTGAGTAAAAGAAGCCAAACAGGATAGAGTACATATTGTATGATTCCATTTACATAAAATTCTAAAACGTGCAATCTAACCTTTAGTGGCAGAAAGCAGATCAGGGATTGCCTAGAAACTCCAGGAGCAGGTGGAGGAGGTGAGGGCAGGGAGGAAAGGGAGGCAGGGATTACCAAGGGGCATGAGGAAACTTTGGGGAGTAGTGGATATATCCACAATCTTTATTGTGGTGACTTTTTCACACATTTATACATATGTCACAACTCATCAAATTGTATATTTCAAATATGTGCAGTTTATCGTATGTCTGTTATACCTCGATAAGGCTGAAAACAAAGAGCACTGTAGGCAAGGAGTCATGTGATGTGAGTCCTACTTTCAGTTCTGGGACCAAGTTACCAAGTCACCTTGGCCAAGTGGCTCAGCCACACAGGCCTCAAGCTTCTCATCTGTGCTCTGGGAGCTTTGGATTAGATCAGAGGTGATAAAGGTAAACTCTCTCAGGGGCCAGAAAGGAAATACAAGTGAATGACATGAGCCAGCTTCCCTGGGGAGAGGGGTAGAGACTGGCCACCTGGAGATGCGTGCCCTTGGCCAGGGGGGCAGCTGTCAATCACCTCGGGCCATTTGCTGCTGTGATGGAATGTGGACAGTGTGGCTAATGCTTTAGATTTTTCAAGAGAAACCAGAAATCCAGATTTTTAAAAATGACATCTTCTTATTATCAAATGCATGTAATTAATTTTAGAACGCTAAAACACTGTGCAAACCAAAGCCACACGAGTGCAGACAGGACCCAGCCTGAGTCCTCCTAGTTTGTGACCTCTGTGCTCAGTGATGCCTAGGGATGCTCTGATACTCCACGGCCAAGAGCCTCTTCTCAATTTTTAGCTGAAATCACTTTCCTAGTTATCGTTTCCTGTACTTCACTAAGAAACAATTTCTACCAATGACCATTTGCATCCTGCTGCTTTCCATCTACCATTTGACTTCTATAATGCCCTAACTCTTGGTCTACCTTGAACCCTCATTTCTTCAATTTGTGGGGGAGAAGTCTTGGGTAATTTTACAGAGTTTAAAGAGGTTCGTATATACCCAAAAGAACAGAAAGCAGAAACTGGAACAGATATTTGTACACCAATGTTTGTAGCAGCATCATTCGCAAGAGCCAAAAGGTAGAAACAACCCAAATGACCATTGACAGATGAGTGGATAGGCAAAATGTGGTACAACACGATGGAATATTATTCAAACTCAAAAAGAAATGAAATTCTGCCACATGTTACACCATGGAAGAACCTTGAAGATATTACCTTAAGTGAAATAGGCCAGATATAAAAGGACAAATATTGTACATCTCACTTACGTGAGATGCCTAGAATTGTCAAATTCATAGACACAGAACGTACCAGGTTACCAGGGACTGAAGGGAGGAGGACTAGAAAGTTACTGTTCAGCAGGTAGAGGGTTTCAGTTCGGGAAGATGAAAGAATTCTGGAGATAGACAATGGTGTTGGTTGCGCAACAATGTGAATATACTTAATGCCAATGAAGTCTACACTTATAATGGTTCAAATGGTAAATTTTATCCATGATAAAAAATTTTTTATGAAAAGGCTGGACACATGTCTGGAATTTTCAGATCAGATGAGGCAATATGAGAGGCTTTTTCCAACACACTGTGCTGGGGAACTGAATTGCTACAACTGCCACTGGCTCTTCTTTCCTGTGACTCCCTCCTAAGGCTCCTCACCCAAGGAGAGACCATTTGCATATCACCAAGGCTCCCTTAGGCTTCATTCATTTGGAACAGTGAGTCTCAGCCACCCCCTTGGGGAGTTTTTGAAAAATACAGCTGCCTGGGCCCCACCCTCAGAGAATCTGATTCAGATGGTGTAGTGGTAGAGGCTGGGCTCCACATTTATTAAGAGCTTCCCAGTTTATTTTAATGTGCAGAGTTGAGAACCACTGAACTCTCTTTGAAAAAAAGATCAGTAAGACATTTTATGTATATTAGAGGCGAGCAACTCAAAGACTGCATCAGGCTCTGAGCAGAGACGCCCTGGAGTGAGCAGTTTGGAGTGGGCAGGTGGGTTTGACTCCTGGGAAGAGTCCTACAGGAGTCGATGGGTCTGGAAGTGTGGATATCTGTACCCCCATAAAGAGGCAAGAAAGGAGCAAGCCAGGCTTAAGGGACTTGTTTGGTGGAGGGAGAACAAATGGGGTTAGGATTAAATAATAAAACATGAGACAAGGGGGCCTATCATTCCAAAGTGAAGTGTTTGGAGTCTTTCTATTTCTGGGAGCAAAATCTAATAAATGGAAAATATTCACTACTGCAGAGAACTTCTTGGATTTGTAATAAATTCCAGGCAACTCAGTTATAAGAAAAGAAATACAGGCTGGGTGCGGTGGCTCACGCCTGTCATCCTAGCACTCTGGGAGGTAGAGACGGGATTGCTGTCAGGTCAGGAGTTTGAGACCAGCCTGAGCAACATAGCGAGACCCTATTTCTGCAAAAAAAAAAAAAGAAGAAAAGAAAAAGAAAAAGAAAAAGAAAAATTAGCCAGGCGTGGTAGCATATGCTGGTAGTCCTAGCCACTTGGGAGGCTGAGGCTGGAGAAGCGCTTAAGCACAAGAGTTGAGGTTGCTGTGAGTCATGATGATACCACTGACTCTAGCTGGGGTGACAGAGGGAGACTCTATCTCAACAACAAACAAAATCCTCTAAATAGGAATCTACCTAAGTCCCTGCAATTCTCTGTTAAAATATCACATGCCCAGGCTCAAGGTAGGATTTCATTCAGAACTATATCTATCCCCACAAAATTGCTTGACTAAAGTTAGGTGTATTTAATTCAGTGACTTAACTGAGTCAAACAGTTTTTTGAGGGATTAGAGATAAAAATCTAAAAAGAAAATACTGGACTATAGTAAATTTAGATTCTTCAGCTTTGCCATTCTGAATCCTTTATGGAACATAGTTTGGAGAGTCAATCAATTGCTCGAGCTGGTTCCTTTTCTGAAAAAGTATTTTCTTCAACTCATTTAATGGGATTAAATGGTAGTGAAATGGCTGCTGTGTGGTATAGGTCAAGTAGACCATCAAAAACTATCAGAGCATATTTTTTAAAAATCGAGGAATAAGATGTTAAGAGGGGAACATGGGTCTTCAATTGAGGAAATAATAATGTGGTGCTAAGAAGTTGGTGAGGCTCTGAAAGTCTCAATGCATGGGAGTGTTTCATCTGTAGGTCACGGCTCCAGCAATCTGGCTTGCTCACAGGAGTTGGTGACTGAGAATAGTAATGGCACTAGCACTCACCAACTTGTGCTGAGCGTTGCCGTGTTGCAGTATCCCCTCTGCACTTTGCGTGTAGCGAGATCATTAATCTTCACATCAACCCTCTGAGACAGGTGCTATTTTTGCTATCCCCAGTCTAAGGATGAGTAACCTGAGACACAGAGAATAATTTCAATAATTTACTCAAGGTCACATGGCAGAAAATGGCTGGCTGGATGGAAATCCAGCTGTCGGGTTATTCTAGTTCAGAGCCCGGGCTCTTCACGTTCCACGATTACCCCGGAAGAAGGAAAGGAAGGTAGAAACAAACGCTTAGTAAGTGTTTATTAAGTGCCAGCTACTTTACACATTATTATTTCATTGAACCCCTACAACATATCCTCAGCCCCGTGCTATAGCCACGGAAACGAGGAAAAGGAGACAGAGAGTTTAATGACTAGCTAGCAAGAGGCGGAGCTAAGACTTGAACCTTTATTTGCCTGACCGTAAACCTGTGTTTTTTTTTTCACTAAATCATAAAATTTCAGAGGCGCATCCATGCATAAAAGTACACTTAGGAAAGAAACTCTCTTGCTTAGAGCTGCATCCCTAACTTTGTACAATTTTAACCAGCCTGATTATCTAGTTTCCTTGTTCAAAGCCATGAAGTAAGCGTGGGGTGTGGGGAAGAGGATAGGTAGGTAAATTGCAGGGGAAATAAAATGGATAGAGAAAGTAAATGTCCAAGAGACAAGGATTATTAAATAAGTAGCTTTCCATCTTTGATTTCTTTGAATAGAACTTTTGGTTAAAAGCTAAATACTTTCTTTAAAGGAGCCAAAGGAAAGAGGTTGAATGCATTCAACAGGCAAATTTCATAAGCTTTCAAAAATTTGTATAAAAATAATAAGTAACCTTAACACTTGTATCCCCATAATACGCTAAAATAAAAAAATAAAAATAAAAAATAATTCTTAGTTAACACAAAATTAAGTCCAACCAAGAACTGTTTTCAAACAGAAAGCAGTGCCATTTGACTCTTTAAAGAGTACATTGCCATTTACTCTAAACAGCATGTCAATAAAATTATTATTCCAAGATTATTAAATGTATATCAGAAGGTCTGCAGAGCTCAGGCCGTGGCAGTGGGTATGTGATGTGGGCTCTCTGCCCGGGCATGCCCTTCCTTCCTTGTCTGCCTGGGGAACTTCTCTGCAGGCTCAAGGGCAAGATCTCCAGGGCTCTTCTGAGAAGTCAGCCCTGTTCCCCCCGCCCGTCACTGCCCTGCAGTCTTCTGCAGCTGTGGTTCTCACACTTCGGAGCGCATCAGAGTGAGGAGGGCCTGTTAAGACACAGATTGCAGCTCCACCCCTGAAATTTCTGATTCAGTCGTTTGGGTGGGGCCCAGGGATTTGTAGATCCAACGAGTTCCCAGCTGATGCTAATGCTGCTTGTTCTCTGACTACACTTTAAGGACTACTGCTCCAGAGAAAATTGCTTTCCCCTTTGTGTCACCCTGACATGTTCAGTCCTTTCATTTTGACTTGGGCTGAGCAGGCAATTCTGGGTCTTCTCAGGGGTCTATGAACATTTTGAAGAAGAGGACTGGTTTTCTAGCCTTGGAGAAGGGTAGTAGCAGGGACTTGAAGGGGTCCTGGGAGGGGAATCTGGCTGATCCAAGGCTGAAGAATCCATCCAGCAACAAAGCTGTTGCCACGGGTCTCTGAAAACTGCACACCAACCCCAGACCCCGTTGGACTCACAGGCCCAGCGGAAAGTGGGAGCTGTAATTCAACTCAGAAAGCTAGTGTTTTCTTTTGTTGGTTTTTGTTTTTAAGGCAGAAGCGGCACTCTCTGGGATGCTATAACAGAGCATGACGCAAGGGAGAAAGGTGTTTTTCTACACTGTCCCACAAACCATCCTTTTAGCACCCCAAGAAATTCAGGCCATTGCTGACAGTGCCTGAGTGAGGTGATGGTGCCCAGCAGAGCCGGGTGTCGTCAGGGCTGCACGGCCACAGCAGCAGCCATTGGCCACACGGGGCTATGCAAATGTAAGTACAAATTTATTAGAATTAAAAGAAATTAAAAATTTTCCAACTGGGGCTAGCTTTGAGTAAAAAAAAAAGAGAGAGAGAGAGAGGGAGAGAGAGCAAAAGAAAAACTAACTAAATAAATAAATAAAAATTCAGCTCATCAGCCACACTAGCTACCTTTCAGGTGCCCTATAGTTACAGCTGGCTACTGCCCTCCCTATTGCATAGCTCAGAGATAGAACATGTCCATCTTTGCAGAAAGTCCATTGGTGAGCACTACCATAGGGGCTTGGGCAGTGACGAGATAAGAGCAAGATGGCGCACAGGGCAACCACTGTAGAGTGCTGGTGCCCCTCAGCCTGCATACTACCACTGCCCACAGATTTGCAAAGACTCCGTGCTGTACCTCCACTAAATGGTGCCTGAGAACGCATAGCCTCTCTGTTTCCCTTCCTTCCTACAATCCTAGGCTGGGACTTCAGTGCCTAGTATGGTGGGGGTGCCCAGGGAACAGAGGGACCTTGGTGGGACTGAGGGTAGGATTGTCCCTCAGCAGGGGCGAGTCACTCTCTGGGACTCCTAGCGAGGCCCAGGGTCCTTTCCGTGGGGCTGAGTGCCTACCAAACACTCTGGCTAAGTTGGGTCACGCTCTTTCTGTCCCCGCCAGTGTTCCTTATGCCTTGCCTGGCTCCTTCTGCAGCAGGACCTCTCCCTCCCCTCTCTCGTAAACCGGGTGAGCTCTTTTCTCTTGTCATCACTCTTTGAAAACACAGCCCACTTGTTTGAGTTAGAATTCAGGATTTTAAAAGGATGGCAAGTGGAAAAGCAGAGTTAGGTTATCTGGGCCAATGAAAGCTTCTCCAAGACCTTGTCTGGTCCCTGCTGTATATTTCAGTAACGGGGTTTCCCAGCCCTGGTGGCATATCCATGTTCTGATAAATCTTTCTCCATAGACGAATTTCCTGATGGAAGGTAGCTTAAATGTTCCATTACCTAATTTTTCTTTAATTTACCATAAAATGAGAAAAGAGATTCTAATTTTCTCCACGCTGGCTAAAGGCTAAAATAGGTGGGAGAGAAAAACATTCCAGGCTACTTTTCAGGTTGCACATGGGACTCGAATTTCAGCAAATGGGCCCTCGCCTGTCTCTGCCATGGAGGCTTTGTGGCTCTTCAGCCCTCAGTATCACAGGGGTTTTAGTCAATGGGTGAGTGACAAAACAGGGACCTGGCTTTGGCACACGGGCACACTGAGGGGAAAGGGAACAGCCTAAGAACAGAACACTCAGCCAGATAATCAAAGTGGGTCTAGTTTAAGCCCAAGCTGTGCCCCTGGCTGGGGTTTAGAAATGTCTAGAATGTGCAGCAGTGGGCAACCAGAAGTCTGATTGTATAAGGGCTTAAGGAGCCTCCTAGGAGATTACTTATTTTAAGAGGACAGGAATGAGGGCATTGCAAACTTGAACTGGCCAGTACAAAGCCTAAGCTAGAATATGGGAGGGAAGCCCAGGTGTGTAACAGTATTTGTCACCCAGACTGTGGAGGGTGGGAGTGGGGAGGTTAGAAGCAGAGCTGCTCTAGGCACCCAGTAAAAGCTGTTTGGCTGCAAACTCTGTGAAACACTGAGCCCAAGCAGCACACCTGGGGACTTCTCTGGCCCAGTGCGATGAAGCAAGGTGGTGAGCAGAGGTGTTCTTCCTCGCTTTCCAACAAAACCCATGTGGCCTCAGCACCGAGGAGCTCCATACTATCAGTTAGCACAGAAGTGGGACGCAGGCAGGGGAGCCTGGGCCAAGCCGGTGAAGACCTCACCGTACTGGAGAACTCAGCACTGCCAGAAGATACTAGGGTTTCCAGAACATGGAGGAGATGTGAATGAAGGGAAAAGATGGGATCCAGGAATAAGCCAAGAGAATTAGCTCTCTTCCTCTTTCCCTCTGTTCTGGAAACTTCTGTTCAGAAGCCATCAGGTGAGGCAGAGCAAGGTAGGCCTCTGCACCTGAGCGGGGAGGGAGTCAGCCGGGGTGAGGAGGAGGCTCGCCAGGGAGCAGAGGTCCAGGGTGAGGGAGTGAGGAGGGCGTCTGCACTAGAGGGGACAGCCTGGCGTGTGTGGGAGCCCAGGTGGGGTGAGGAAGGGAGACTCAGTGTGAGGTGCCAGGCCAACACAGAGTGAGAAGGGAGTCCCTGCCAGGGAGGGAGTCCTGGCGTGGAGACTCAGACCCTCAGAGGAGCGAACTGGGGTCTGACAGGAGGGACAGGCCCCGTGAAGGGTGTCAGAATTGGAGTGGTAAACAGAGTGTCCACGCAGGGGTACCCCAGCACCTGGTGTTGCTGTGCAGTGGGGTGGGGAGGGCACCTGTGTAGGAGGGCAGCCCAGGACAGGATGTTGGTGCCCAAGCAGCGGAAGGAAGGTGTCCTCCTAGAGGGCAGCCTGGCATAGGTGTCAGGCCTGAGCAGAGAGAGGAAGGCATTGGTGCAGTGCCCTGCAGGGTGTCCTAAGACTAGCAGAGTGTGAGGCATTTAGTGGGTGCCCAGGTAATGATAAATTTTGAATGATAAACCAGAAAGACCAAGGTTCAAGTCCTGTTGTCTTGACCACTTACTAGCTATGAAACATTGAACACGCATCTTCATCTCCATCAAGGGGATGCTGTATGTGAAACCACTCTTGAAAAGAGAAATCACTGCACACGTTTGGAGGAGCTGATCTTATTCCAAGATATAATAATGGGAAAGAGGGCTCTGCCATTCTCTGATGTCATTCTCTGCCTTCCTCATACCGCCTGTCCCTCCCTTAGCTGGGACCTGGCAGCCTACTCAGTGCTCGTGCTGCTCAGGTCTCAGGGGCCTCCCGTGTAAGGTGAGAAGAGCGTGGCACGCGCTTCCCCAGCTAGCCAGGACGAGGTCGAGGTCCTCAGCAAGCATGAGGCCACAGCAGACGCAGAGTAACTCAGCCCTGGGGAGAGGGCAGGCATGTGGCCATTGGCGTGCAGACTTCTGGCCTCTCCCCCAATCCCTGTTCAGCTTACTTGGCCTGGACGACCCCCGCAGAGCTATGGGCGTGAACATCAAGCTGCCCTCTCACAGCAGACACTGCGCTTCCACCGTAAAATGAGGCTGTCAGGCTGGTTCACAGAGCACCAGGATCCCTTCTGGCTCTAACAGATGACTCTGCCAGGAGCACAAGTCTGAGCGAGGGCACTGGGTCGGAATTGGGACACCTGAGTTCTCCTGCTGGACCAGTTGTGTGACCTTGGGCAAAGGACCCCTGGCCTGGGCAGCTGAGGACAGCACGCCAGCTGTGTTCTGAGGTCTCAATCTTCAGAATTTCCCTCTGACACTGCAGGACTAGTGCAAGCAGAGGGGACAAACTTACTGTCCAGCAGCCTGTGAGCTGAAAGGGGAAAGCCTGGGTCTAGCAAAACCTCTGGTCCAGCACTGCCCCCTCCCCACATGTTCCAGCAGAGTTATGTGTGTCTGTTAAAACCCAACTTCACAAAAGGCAACTTCACTAAATGTGTTTAAGCTATTATTCTAAACTGAATTACTTTTAGCTTTCATAAATGTGTTTTTTATTCCCTTTTTAATTAGTGACCTTATCTTTACAGCCCTGAACCAGACTTTCCTCTACACTGGCTGACCTTCTTATCTCTTCCAATGGCTTCAGTTAGCAGGTTTGAGATGGAATGGCCCCGAACTTTATCTCCACCAGCTTGTCTCTTCTGAACTGCAGACCCAGATATCAAACCGACCCCTGCATATGACCACTGGCTGTCTCTCAGGGTGCCCTCAGAGTGACTCTGAACTCGGCAGCTCCCTCCTCTGGACACCTCCAGGCTCAGTCCCCATCCCCACAGAGAGCAGCAGCATCCAGGACAGTTGGTCTAAATCTGGCCCATCTGCCTCCATCATTGCCAGTACCTGTTAGTGCCCTCCTCTCGCACCTGTGCTGCTGCACGCTGCCACCCTGCCGCTCCCTCCTTGTCCAGCCTTGCCACGCTGCCCCCTGCCCCGCCACATTCGGCCTAATCATATACACACTGAACCTTGCAAAATGTATCTCTGTGTTCGTCACTTCCCTATGGAAAACTCTGATTGGTCACTATTGCCCTTAAATAAAGTCCAAAATCCTCAGCAGAGTTTACAAGCAGCTCTGTAATGTGACTAACTGGTCCACGTTAGCAGGGGCTTCCCAATTTTAGCACTGACCGCCTGAGTTCTCCTGAGTCACCATTCTCTACTCTCCATTCCCCAGCCCCGCCCCCAGCTCACACTCTTTTCACCCCGTCTGTCACCTGGGGCCTTCCCGTTGGCAGTCCTCCTGTGTCCCACTGAGAACACTCTTTGCCCCATCCCTGTGCCTTTTTCACTTTGAAATCCCCTTTCAACTGGTCTCTCAGTTGAAAGAAGACTTCTTCCAGGTTGTCTTCCTGGACACCTGGGGCGGATGACTCACCCCGCTGAGCCACTCTCTAGTTCCCCTGGCGACACCCACCAAAATGCATTACTTCAATCCCTGGGTTATTTGGAGGCTTCCCTCTGTGCCTTTAAGTGGTACAGCCAGGGGCTGAATCGTCCTTGCTCCCTGTTGTCACCTGTTGTCACCTAGCACAATTGCCTGCTGCAGATTTCAGTGGGGATTTTGGATGAGTCGTGATTCACACAGGCACAGCCTATACACAGAACATGTGCATGTCTGTTGTTTTGGCTCATAAACAGGCAGTCGAAGAAAGAGAAAAACAACTGGCTTGTAAACACATGATAAAATGTTGACTATCACTCAGTATTAAATAGATACAGATTAAAACAATCATGAGATTCACTTTTTACCTACCAGAATCATAAAGCTCGCCAAGTGGGAGGAGGTGATCAGGCCAGTGGGTGAGCCCCCCACTGGGGTAGGGATGTAATCTGCAAGAGTCCTGGAAGAGCAACGTGGCAATCTTTACCAAAGCTTTAACTGCACATTTTTTTTGACAATTTTACTCCTGGAAATGTATCCTACAAATATTCTTAGATATTTGTACAGGGAAAACCATAGAAAAATATTGAACAGGTCATTGTAACCAATGAGAAAATAAATGTGGGAAAATACCCCACCTATCCATCAAAAGGAGACTTGGTTAAATAAACCAGGGAAGTCCTTCTAAGGGAGTATCATGAAGGAATTTTTCAATTAGGTAGATTTACATATGCTCACATGAAGCAATCCTCAAAGGGGATGGGGTATGAAAAAGTAAGGTCCACAATGTGTTTATTTTTAGTTGTGATTTTTAAAGGGAAATATGCATATGTGTTCATATACATAAAATATTTCTGGAAGAATAAACATGAAATTCTTAGCAGTAATTACCTCTGGGAAGAGAGACTTGGGATCTGGGACAGGAGAGAAACTTATTCATTCTATATTCTCTTTTAAGTGTTTGAATAATTAATTACAGGCATGAATTAGCTTTGCAATTATTACAGAAAGAAATAAAGAAATAAAGAAAACTCCATGTTTGTTTTTCTTCTTTTTTTCCTTAAAGAGGAGAGAAGCTAGTGAATTTGCATCTATCTGCCTGAGGTTCTAACAATTTTCCTTCCTTCCTTTCTTCCTTACTTTTTTTTTTCTTTCTACTCATCCTCTCCTCCTTTCTAAGAAAATTGTCTTTCCAGGATCTTCTAAAATTATGAAATAAAAATAAGATTAAACCAGCTCTCTCTCCCTGGGCCGGAAGTCCAGGGTGGACTGGGCGAGTCCATTATCATGTGCTGCCTTCTCTCACCTGGCGGATGGGGCCCCTGGCAGCCTGCCTGTCACCCTCCTACCTGCCTTTTCCCTCTAGTGCTATCCTGCCATTCAGCTGCAACTAATCCCAGCTCCTCATGTCTCTCACTTTCTGCCCATGTGGAGTGCCAAGGACACCCATTTTGCCATTTGACACTTGTGGAAACCTGGAAGTGGGAGTGTAATCTGTAATCCAGGGGAACTCCTCACAGCTCATTAGGGGTCCCTGGTGGTCTCAAGCTCCAGCTTCCCACTGGCTTGGGTAGCTCAGTAACTCACCCTAGGACTGGTTTTCCCCCTTCCCACTCCTGCATCTTGGGATCTCTTCCCAAAATAAACTACCAGCTTGTGTTAGGCTCTGCTTGTTGTGGGAACCCAGACTAAGGCACCATTCCTCACAATGAATGTGGAGTTCTAGAGTCCTTATAGACCTGTGGACTGAGATCACACTTCATTCAAAGAGATAAAGCAATTGTCCCTGAGGAGTTTCTCTCTTTTACTCCTCCTGAGATGTAACCTCTCCCCTCTGGGTCCTTATGACTGTCTTTCCTCCTCTCTGTTAACATGAGGATGGCATTCTGCAAGGGTCTGAATGTCTGCATCCCTCCCACTCAATCTCCAATGTGATGATATTAGGAGGTGAGGCCTTTCAAAGGTGATTAGATCACCAGGGTGGAGCCTTAATGAATGAGATTAGTGCCTTTATGAAAGAGGTGCTAGAGAGGTGCTATCTTGTCTCTTCCACTATGTGGGGACACAGTGAGAAGGCAGAGTGGGCCCTCACCAGACAACAAGTCTGCCAGCTCCTTGGTCTTGAATTTCCAAGCCTCCACAACTGCAAGAAATGAATTTCAGTTGTTTATAAGCCATCTAGTTTATGGTATTTTGTTATAGCAGCACGAATAGACTAAGACACATTCACAAACCTAGGTATTTTTTTCCAAAACTGCCTTCAAATCAGATAGAAAAGCATGTTATAGATTCTCCAAGTAGAAACATTTATTCTAAAAATTATACCCTCCACATTGAGATCATCTGTAGATCCCTGAACTCTGATATGATGATTTAAGAAACAAGAAAAGTTGAGTTTAACTCATGCCAACTCCTGAGGTGGAAAGTGTCCAGAGTTTGCTCATTTAGAGACCAGGGCTCCATGTGCAAAGGTGTTAGACCAACCCGGTGAGCCCTGGTGCAAGGTCACCATTATTTCGTCACCCCGAGGTCAGGTCAGGATTCCCTCAAAAGCCTGTTGTTGCCTTCAAACAAGCCTGGACAAGTTGTCTGGTGGCCTCCTATTCCCTTGTCCTGCCCCTTTTGCTGGGCAGCACTCTCTCCCTTCCCTGTGTTGCACTTTCAAAATAAACCAACTCAGTTGTGGTAAATTCAGTGTAGGAAATTCTAAGTAAAGAATGGTGAGAAGTCCTCCAGAAGGGAAACTATATACAGCCCATTTTTAATGACTCTAATAACACAATTACCTTTTAATTACTGTCTTTAAGCAATATATAACATTTTTACTTGAAAATCAAACCAAAATAGATTGAATTGTCTACCAAGACCCATGTAAGGCATATGTAAATATGCGATATGGCTCTATTACTTATAGACCTGGCTGTGATTTTACTTGGGGAAATAGCTTCATTTGGGTGCTCCATAGATTGATCAACTTAATCTTAAAAAAAAAATCCAAAATTATCATAGAAACCTAGAAGTTTAAAGTGAGAAAAGCCTTTAAGAATCACAGAATTGAGCAGGGAGCGAGTTGGCTCATTCCTGTAATCCCAGCACTCTGGGAGGCTGAGGTGGGAGGATTACTTGAGCCCGGAAGTTTGAGACCAGCATGGACAACATAGCAAGACCCCATCTTTAAAAAAACTTTTTAAAAATTATCCGGGCATGGTGGCATATGCCTGTAGTCCCAGCTACTTGGGAGGCTGATGTGGGAGGATCACTTGAGCCCAGGAGTTCAAGGCTGCTACGAGCTATGATCAGGTCACTGCACTCCAGCCTGGGTGATAAGCTAGATCCTGTCTCTAAAAGAAAAAAGAAAAGAATCACAGAATCGAAAGCCCAGAAACCTGTCCTGTGCCCAAGGTCACGTGGTGACAAAAGATGGGTATATGCGGGGAGGAAGTAGAGATTAACTCCAACTGAATACCTGCAGCAAGGCCTTGGATTCTCAGATTCCATGCAAGGGGACTTCACACATATGTCTTTATCTGTCACAGTCTGAGATTTGGAGATAATAATCATTTTCATTCAGTTGAGAGAATAGGTTCAGAGAATGAAGTGACTTGTTCCAAGTTATGCAGCTAATCAATGACAAGCGATCAGACTGGAACCCAAGTCCAACCGAAGGCCAGTGTCTTCCCATTCATCACGACATCTCAGCTGTTTCTGGTTTCTGGAGTCTTGGGCTAGTAAACGTTGGCATCCCCACAGCAATAGTCCCAGCCCTGCCCAACCCCACACCTATTCCCAACACCTCACTCGGTTTCTGGGACCCCTCCCTCTCTCAGCCCCAGGGCTTGTTCACACAGTGGTCAAAGTGAGCCGCTCAAGCCCCTACCATCGCATAATTTCCCACCGCTGGCCCCCAACACCGCACTCCTTGCTTATTCTTTCAAGAACTTTGTCAGTTATTTTCTTCACTTTCTTTTCCACTGGCCCTTTCAAAACAGAGCTATTTACAATTTCCTACTTAAAAAAAATAATATAATGAAAACCACATTTGTGGTTCTCCCCCTTTCATACATCCATGCTAATACCAAAAGTCTTTGGCCTGGCATTCAGGGCCCTCTGTGCCCACCTGTCACTGTACTGCTTGTGCCTCTGTCACAGGATTGCACAGTCAGCCCTGCAGTGTAGCAGCTACAGTGCTTGGGGCATTGGATTCACTTTCACGTCCAAAAGAACATCTGCCACAAGGTCTAGCACACCTACGTGCCCAACAACAGAGCGTTGAATGGAATGGACTCATTCCTGCTTTATGCAGCACGGTCCCTAATGACCTGTCTAGACCACATCTCTCCACCTGGGGGTAAGGATGGACTGTGGCTCCCTGCAGTAGACACTAACACACAAAGGGTGCGATTAGCTCTGAACACAGTGCCAAGGACCTGGCAGACCTAAATATACTAGTGAGCATGTTACCAATGCAACTAAGGTGCTTCTTAAATCATCACAGCAAGCTGCCCAGTGCATTTCTATCAACTGTGTCTGAGAAGCATCAATTTCTGTTATTGATTCCCCCAAATTGTACCAGCTCAAGACTAATGAAGAGGGGTAATGCTCGCACTCCAGAGGCTTGCCAGCTCTCTGCTTTAGGGCTGTGTGTTGGGACACTGAGACGCCTTACAGAGGAGCCCGCCGTCTAATGAGGGATGGGGTGGGCGGGAAACAAATCCAGACAGGAGGCATCAGAAACGTCAGGACAAGAGCATGAATGAAGATAGTTGTGTTTGGGTAGGGGTGGCTGAGAGAATCAAGATTATTTAAGAGAGATTAGAGAAAGTGCCTACACAGTGTTTGACACAGAGTAGGTGTTCACTCAGTTCTCACTGTCACACATCCAGCTGGGTGCAGAGGAGCAAGGCCTCTGCCTGACTGATCTCCATGCCTCGTCCTCCCCTCCGTCCGCCCTCCACTGCCTGCTCCAGCCTGGTCTTCTGAGCATGAGAAACACATCGAGTTCCTTCTCTCTGCAGGGAGCCCTCTGCTCCCGGCTTATGGCAAAGCTGGCTCCTGCTTGTCCTTCAGGCCTCAGGCTCGATGCCTGGCCTGACCACCTCACCGCCACAGTTACTCTCTATCACATCATGCTGGCTATTTCCTTCTTTGCAATTACCAGAAGCTGTAACAATTTGGTTTATTTCTTTGCTTGTTTATTGTCCCACTAGACCTTGTGCTTAAGAAAGAGAGGAACGACCTCTGTGTTCTGTGCTGGTGTGTCTCAGCACCGGGAATGCACTCACTGCATGGTCAGCTCGTGGCCAGTTTAACTGTGTCTGGGGTGCTGGGAAGACCTCACAAATGCAAGCACATTTGACCAGGGCCTTGGGGGGTGGACAAGAGTTTACCCACCAGGGGCTGCAAAGATAAGGTGGCAGGTCAAGACTGTTTTGCTGTGGGAAGGAAGTACTGATAAAAAAGCTTTCGTTGTTTTGAGCAGCTGTGCCCAGGAGAAGACAGGGCTCTGAGACCAAGCCAGTGAGAGGGTTTCGAACAGAAATACTCAGTGGGTGGGAAGGCAGGGTGGTGGGCAGCAAATCCAGCTGTCAGAGGCTGACAGCTAAGTCCCCTTCCTGTAACCCTTCCTGGACTCTGCCAGTGGCCTTCTGAGCTGGAATTTGTTTTTTATGGTGGGACCTACTCACCGTGAAGGGGGGATCTTATCAGGTGGCCAAGTTTGGTTTTCAAACAATAATAATAATGGAAATTATAAGCACTGCCATTTATTGAGCTCCTACTGAGCGTCAACCACTGTGTTAGATACTTGACACACATCTGGTTTAAGCCACAGCCACCACACAAGATTGGCATTTTCCCCCATTTGCAGAGGCCGAAACTAAGATTGCATTTCATGTGCAAAAAGTGAGTAACATGTCTAAAGTCACGGGGTTAGGAAGTGGTGGATGGAGTTTCAAACCCAG